TAGGTGGGAGCACCAGGTGGGCACTACCAGGGGAAGGGGAGTGCTCTGGGAGAGAAGGGGTGCCCGTGAGCTCCCTCTGAGGCGGGCAGTGTCCCTCTGCCCTGTCTGCCTGCAGTGCCCCGGGTGGGTGTAAGGGGCTGTCCCTTGGCTGTCCCCACGCAGGGGTGGATGTGGAGACAGAGGCGAAGGACAGGAGTGACCTGTCCCTACCAGGGCACCAGCTGGAGCTGCTGCAGGACGCCGTGCAGGCAGGTAGGGGCTCTGTGGGGCCCAGTGAGTGGGGCCACAGCCCTCCCAGGTGTTGCCCATCCACGGGACACCCTGGAGCCATCCCAGCAGTGCCACTGCAGGGCTCTCAGTGACAGCCACCTCCCCGCAGCCGCCGGGCGCCCCGTCATCCTGCTGCTGTTCAACGCGGGGCCCCTGGACGTGGGCTGGGCACAGGCACACGACGGTGTGGGGGCCATCCTGGCCTGCTTCTTCCCTGCCCAGGCCACTGGCTTGGCCATTGCCAGGGTCCTGCTGGGCGAGGCGGGGGCCAGCCCGGGTGGGCGGCTGCCGGCCACGTGGCCTGCGGGCATGCACCAGGTAAGGTGGGGGTTCTGGTGGCACCTGTAGCCCTTTCCTGCCTCGGTGGCCAGAGCAGTGGTGGGATGCAGGGCTGGTGCTCGTCCATGGCCACCCAGCCCTGCCCTGCTCCACTGCCCTGTGTCCTTCAGGTGCCGCCGATGGAGAACTACACCATGGAGGGACGGACGTACCGGTACTACAGGCAGGAGGCCCCGCTCTACCCCTTCGGGTACGGGCTCTCCTACACCACCTTCCACTATCGGGACCTGGTGCTGAGCCCCCTGGTGCTGCCTGTCTGTGCCAACCTCACCGTGTCTGTGGTGCTGGAGAACACGGGGCCGCGCGACGGCGAGGAGGTGGGCACGGCTGCTCTGCACTGAGCTGGCTGTACGGGCACGGATGTGCCCTGGCTCTCCCCTGCCAGGGGGCTGCCGGGGGGTCCCGTGGCACTGACTCCTGTCCCTCCGGGCAGGTGGTGCAGCTGTACCTGCGCTGGGAGCAGTCGTCCGTGCCGGTGCCACGCTGGCAGCTGGTGGCTTTCCGGCGCGTGGCTCTGCCGGCCGGCCGGGAGACCAAACTGTCCTTCCAGGTGCTGGCTGAGCAGCGCGCGGTGTGGGCACGGGACTGGCTCCTGGAGCCTGGCACCT